CCCCCCATTTCACTGGTGGATCCATTAGATATGAGAGAACCATATCTATCTTTCTTACCTTAGTGTATTCCATCAATCTACTCCCACCCCTGGAGGGTGCCTTCTTCGTGCTTAGGCCACCTCTAGTCATCTTTCCAGCTAAAGTTGCTCTACTTTTCCTTTTTGACCCTGGTCTGTGTTAGCAGGGAACTTCCTGCTATCAACCCTGGCCAGTTATTTCTCTGGCTATGCTGGCCACTTGTATTCACACAACTGGGTCTGTAAGTGAGCCCCTAATTCAGAGCAGCATTCTGCCTTTTTGGGATTGACACCAATGGGTTTATCCTGACAGGCAATCATTCACCTTTACTAGGTATCTTAGGTGGATATTTGTGGCCCAGGCAATGCTGGGACACACAGGAGAAAACACACCACCACAGGGTCAGAGGAAGCACAGCAGGCTTTGCTGAAAGCTCTCACCATCCATTCTGACACACCTTTCCTACCACTACAGGAGAATATGACCTGCGGCGCTGGGAGAATTGGGAAGTGGACCTGGACATACAGAATATTCTCATCCACCCCAACTACAGCAAGAGCACTAGTGACAGTGACATCGCTTTGTTGCACCTAGCCAAACCTGCCATACTCTCACAGACTATTGTGCCCATCTGCCTCCCAGATAGTGGCCTCTCAGAGCGTGAGCTCACCCAGGTTGGCCAAGAGATGGTGGTAACTGGTTGGGGCTATCACAATGAGGCTAAGAGCAACCGCACCTTTGTCCTTAACTTCATCAAGATCCCCATGGCCCCTCGCAATGAATGCATCCAGGTCATGGACAATGTGGTCTCAGAGAACATGCTGTGTGCCGGTATTCTTGGGGACCCACGAGATGCCTGTGAAGGTGACAGTGGTGGACCTATGGTCACCTCCTTCCGTGGCACCTGGTTCCTGGTGGGCCTTGTGAGCTGGGGTGAGGGCTGTGGGCGCCTGAATAACTATGGCATTTATACCAAAGTCAGCCACTATCTTGACTGGATCCACAGACACATTGGGGCCAAGGAAGCCTCCATTCAGAGTCAGGATCCATAGCATTGTGCCTTCTACTTGCCCTTGGAATGGGAGCTGAACTGGAGGATGACCTTTAGTGGGGCATTAAAAGGCACATGCAACAAGAACACAGCTTGCTACTGTTTCCTTCTGTCCTTCTGAACTGCTGTGGAGTGAAATTACATTCATGCTACACTAGCTATCTGCCACATGCTTTATGAACATTCTCATTTAACCACCACAGCAGCTAAGTGAGGAGCAGAGAGGCAGGTGTACATTTTGTGGGGTCTGAGTTGATTATTCAAATAACAAAAAACTATGAATACAAAATTGTTAGAACCCCTCCCAGGGTCTTGGAAAGGGTCTGTGCAAGTTAGGTTCCTGAAGCTTAAGCATTAGTAGCTCCACTATGAAGGTAGGCGTCTTTATCCCTTCTTACAGATGAGGAAGCAGGTTCAGGAAGGTTTACAATGTAGAGCCAGGATTCAAATCTAGATTTGATTGCAAAACTTGCATGCTCCTCTCTGCTTCCCACATGTCTTGAGTGGCAGCTGCTTAAGGTACTGGTGGGCCTTGGGAAATGGTCACAGTTCAGAAGATTCCCACAGTATCTATTCATTTTTGTGTCACGGTGAGTGCTGAGCCTCAAATAAGCTAGAGAAGTGGCCTTTAGTGAGGCTATACACTTGGGACTAATGGCCTGCCTGAGTGGAGGGAGAAGCCAGCTTGGATTACATTTTTCCTTTCTTGCCTCTATTTTTCTGAGATGCCATGTAAGAACAGTATGACATAACCATGATTAGCAGTAAAGAAGAGACTCAGCTGGATAAGACAGAGTAATAAATTAGGATCCCTGATTTAAAATCATTAGTACCTGATAGAAATGGGTTGGGGTGAGATAGGAGAAATTAGGCCTAAAGTACTTTGTTGCCCCAGGCAAGTCAGTTCTCCTCTTTGGGCTTCAATATAATGAATGGGTTGGATGAAAGCAGTGGTTCTCAACCTGGGCTGAACATTTTAAAATACTGTGTGCCACCATAAGATTCTGATTTAACTGGGGGAGTGGGTGGGAACCAGGATCCACTGAACTAATTATGTGCAGCCACAAGAAAGGAGGTTCTCCTGAGATTGGGCATGCAGGAGCTATCTCCTTACCTAGGGAAGGTTTAGGGGTAATTGGGAACTGATTGGAAGTAGGAGGAAGCCAGGCCAATAGTAAGTAGACCAGTGTCCACCACACTTGCAGTGTGATGGATGGAGAGAGTAACAGAACCAGAGGACTTTACCCCTCAAAAGAACTCCTATGTGGACTTCCTATCTAGATGTTTAAGTAGCATGCATGGCTGGTTCCCTCCTCAAAGTCATCTGGGGAGAGATATAAAAGTGAGAGGAAGCTGGAACTTTTAGGAACAGTACCAACAGCCACCTACCACTTGTCTGTCAGTTTGTCATACTGTGGTGGCTTGCATGTTGCTGTGATACTGGAAGTTATGCCACTGTTATTTTAAATACTAGCAGGGTCATCTTTGGTGGACAGGTTTCAGTTTTCCTTCCAGACTAAGACTAGGAAGAAGGAGAGATGGAGTACTACTGAACGTTTAGCCACTGAAAACCTTATGAATAGCAGTGAAGCACTGTCATATAGCACCAGAATATTTAATATTGAAACATAATGAATTGCACTAGAATATTGTCAGATATAGTGTTGTATAGTGGGTGGCAAGGCAGCCAGAAGGATGGATCTACCAACAAAAGTCAAGAAACTATCCATTTTTGTGTCGTGGTGAGTGCTGAGCCTCAAATCAGCTACAGAAGTGGCCTTTAGTGACCTGCCTGAGTTGAGGGAGAAGCCAGTTTGGATTTATTTCTCCTTTCTTGCCTTTATTTTTCAAAATATCTGAGAATAACCGCTCTCTCTGTGATTACCTTAACACACTGATAAGGCTGTGGAAACTAGCTCCTAGAAGTGATTCTGAGTCATTCTCTCTATTTTTCCTTGTCTACATGAGTTTCTATTGGTGCCATGATGCCCTAAAATGAAAGTTTCTATTTACCCAAAATGCTCTCAGGGCCGTGTAACTTGTTGGACCTACTCTTCCTTATATCCTTCATCCTATATTTCACATCTAAATTTATAATTTTGATGAACTAAGTTGTTTACAATGAACTTATTATGTACTAGATTAAAAATTGATTTTCTATGCCACTTACACCTTAAATGAGAACTTTTGGACTAAAAAAAATTTAACATTTGTTATCCAGGCATCTCAGTTGTATGTATGGGTATATGTATTCTTTGGGAAATTTCCACATGATTTTGTGGATTGCTAGGTTGATACTATAGGGAGCACAATAGCTCCATGCAATAAGCACTGGACTGTCAACCACAAGGTCTGCAATTCAAGCGGGCCAGCTACTCCATGGGAGAAAGATAAGACTTTCTGCTCCCATGAAGATTTAAAAGCCTCAGAAACCCTACATTGGGTCAATATGAGTTGAAACCAACCTGAGAGCACTTAACAACAACAACAATAGTGTCCGAAGATGAGTACCTCAAGTTGGAAGGCACTCAAAATATGACTGGGGAAGAGTTACCTCCTCAAAGTGGAGTTGGCTATGATGACACAAATGGAATAAAGCTTTTGGGGACTTCATTTGCTGATGGGACACGACTCAAAATGGGGAAAAACAGCTTAAAACAGCTATTCATCCATTAATAATTGAAGCATGGAAGAATGTGCAAAGAATGAATCTAGGAAATTTGGCACTTGTCAAAATGAAATGGAATGCATAAAGATCAGCATCCTAGACATTAGTGAGCTGAAATAGTGGACTGGTATTAGTAATTTTGAATCTGGCAGTCATATGGCTTGCTACAGTGGGAATGGCAAATTGAAGAGGAACGGTGTCTCAAAGACCACAGCTTTCAGTATGGGTTGCACCTCAGTGTAAAGAAAACAAAAATGCTCACCACCGGGCAAATAATAGCATCATAATAAGTGGAGAGAAGGTGGAAGTTGTCAAAACTTCATTTTGCTTGGATTCACATCAGCACTCATGTAATGAGCAGTCAAGAAATCAAATGAGAGATTCCATTGTTGTTGTTGTTGTTAAGTGCCGTTGAGTCGGTTCTGACCCATAGCAACCCTGTACAGGGTTTCCGAGGGTATAAATCTTTACGGGAGTAGAAAGCCTCATCTTTCTCCTTCGGAGCAGCTGGTAGTTTCGAACCGCTGCCCTTAAGGTTCGCAGCCTGATTCATAACCACTACGCTACCAGAGCTCCTTGTAGTGAAGGTCGCAGTCAGCAATAGCACAGAATACCAGTCAAAAAAGAACCAGGACAGAGCTCCAAAACTCGGACCCACAGAGATAGGAATATTTTAAAGGTTTGAAGGCTCATAGCTTGTGGAGTTTGGAGCTGAAGTAAAAAAATCACGTACTTTTGAATCTGCCGGGCAGGACTCAGAGGCCTGAGCCCACATCCTGGGTGAGACCAGGTGGCAAGATGAAAAAGGGGCTGCAGAGATGCCATGGAAAAACGCCGCAGGAACTTGGGGAAAAGGTGCACAATAGACTTTGTCAGTTTTGCGTTGTTCTGATTTTATTTTTTTCTTTGGTATCAGGTAATTGGTGTGCTCACTGTTTGCCCACTTCCATTCTGGTGAATAGAGGGAGAGCCTGAGACAAGTGGCCACCCCTCACCCTCACTGCTGGTGGTTTCTTCTGCCAGGAATCCGCACAGACACTCAGCCCAAGCTGAGGCACTGATCTGTCCCCCTTTTGGTCTGTTTTTTATCACTGGTAGGAGAGGAGTCCTGGTGTGGCGCTGTGGCTTAATGCACCAGTCAGCAAAGCCTTTTGAACTGCAAGATCGGTGGTTCAAGCTCACCAGCTGCTCCTTGGAAACACTATATGGGTCACTATGGGTTGGAATTGACTCGACAGCACTTAACAACAACAAGGAGAGGAGGGCAGAAGTGACTCAAAGAGAGTTTAAAGGCAAAACCTCTCAGATAGCTTTGAATCCAGGAATTTAGGACATTAAACACATACTTATATTAAGCTACAGATTTCCAGCCCCCTCTTTTTCTTCCCTGCCTCATCTCCCTTTTCTGTGATTAGAGACTGCTGTATTCAGTCTTGTTTCTGTTGGTGTTGCATTATTTTCTTCTGTTTTTTTTTTCTTTTCTTTTCTTTTTCCTCTTTCTCTCATTTTTGCTATTGTTCTTGTTTTTTATTTTATTTTTGTTTTTTATGCGACTAGTGTTGTTTGGCTGTTATGTAACCTCCTTTTTGCTTTTGGAGGACTCTGTTTCTTCCTATGTTACACGAAAAGAATCAGCAACTGCTGCCAAATAGCCAAGCTGCAATCACACTTTATAAAACACCAAAACCCAGGCAAGAACCAATACCAGCTGCCATATACCAGGAAAACAGGCAACACCTGTGAAACTTACTCTGAGTTAAGCAATGAGAAGAGCGAAAAGGGAAGCCCACATCCTGATCACAGCTTCCTGGAAGCAATCAGAAAGCATAAAAAATTACCAAAACACATACTCAATTAAGTATTAGGGACACAGATAAACACTGAACATGTCCAAGAAGCAAAAGGAGATGACCATATCAGTATATGTCCAGAAAAAAGATAAAATATCTGAGACAAATGACCTAGAAGTAGACCTGGATTCCATTCTGGAAGGAGGGCAGGCCTTGGAAATGTCTGAGAAAGAATTCAGAAAAGTGATTATAAAATGTTTCAAAACACTTTACAATGGAGTTGAGAAAAATAAGGAAGAAGTCAGGAAAGTGCTACAGCAGCAATCAAACAAGAAAGATACAGCATTGGAAACAATCCAAAACCTACAGAAAGAAGTCCAAAAGATCAATAACAAAATAACAGAAATAGAAAACACTCTGAAAGGGCACAGGAGTAGAATGGATGAGATGGAAGGTAGAATAAGTGAGCTGGAAGAAAGGTCTCTCAGTGCCACTAAGATAGAAGAACAAATACAAAAAAGGATAAGAAATTTGGAGGAAGGT